TCAAATGTAGAAGGCTAATTTTTAAACTGATAATTTTGTATGGTCCACGAGTAGTGGTGTATACTTTGGCAGTAAAAGGTTCCCCACCCCTAGCTTAGAAGAACTTGAGTTCTCCCCTAAAAAGGCACATGAAGGACCAATGCTGCCTGTCCCATGTTCTAATATTTCCTAAAGAACCCAGAAAATCTGAATGCGTATGTAAACTCTCCCACTTTTTTAAGAATCGGCAAGCAATTAAAAAATATCTTAAAACTCTATGTGGGCCAAACAAGTGAGTCTGAGGACTGAACCCGACCAGCCAGTTGACAGTTTACAACCTCTAGACCATTCACATCTAATAGTGTGTGTAGCTTTAGAATTGCTGAAGCCCTATTCTGTCGCTCCTTCCTAAGTATGTTGTTGTTAAGAGTTATCATGTTGGTTCCAACTCAGAAACCTCATATAGGGTTTCTGAGGAGCAACTGGTGGGTTTGAACTGCTGACCTTATAAGGTAAGGATATGAACTCCAGTCCAGTGCTTATCTGACAGCACCATACCAGGACTCCTTTCCAAGTATAGAAACATGAAAACAAAACAAAACAAAAAAACCTCCTGTATCTCCAAACCACATCTAGTTCTAGGAAAGATGAAAGGCACTGAAATGATATATCTAAAACACTCAGTGACAAAGTGAATGGCTCAACTTTGCTGAGGTCATAACATTGGTAGTGAGGACCAAGGCGGTCGAGTAGGAAAAGCTCACAACTGAGAAACTGCCTGGGTTTCTTTTTTTTTTTTCTTCTTCTGATTCCATTGGCTAGCATTTGCAGTACTGTGTAGATTAAGTGCACCAACAGAGCACATCCTGACCTTGTTCGCCATCTCAGGGAGAAAGAAAGCATCTAGACTTTCACACCACGCATGATGTCAGATGCAGTTTTGTGTGTTTTTTTAAACCAGGTTTGCTCCTAGCTTTCTGAGAGTTTTTCATCTTGACAGTGTGTTTGATGCTTTTCTTGCATCCATTGATAAAATCACGTGGATTTTCTTCTTGACACTGGGTGGTTTTCAAATACTGAGCCATTCTTGAATTTTTGGAATCAACTCCTTTGGTTGTGGCCTGGTTTTGAGTCACCTTTGGAGGTTTCATTTCCTCTGTTGCATATCAGAGACAGTAATCTCAACCCTGCCTCACAGGATTGCTGTGAGGGTTAGCAGCGAGAGAAAGTGGCTGTTTGTGCCGAAGGCAGTGTGTGCCCAGACCCAAAGTGCTAGACTGGCTGAGAAGCAGCCCCAAACAACGTCCCTTTTGAAGCTTTACCACATTCCAAGCACTACATGAAGTCCACAAATACCCTCATCCCACGAACTCCAAATAATGACTGTATGTGCCAGTCAAATTATTCATTTTTATTTAGCAGTTGTGTATTATTTTCGATGTGTGTTAGAAAAATATACATGTAACTGTTATGTCCAACTTCTGATTTCACACACAATAATAGCTCACGTTATCCCGTCTTACCAAGTACCAGGAGTCCTGGTGTGGCACTGTGGGTTAATGCGTCAGACTGCAAAGCCGTTTAAACTGCAAGGTCGGTGGTTCAAGCTCACCAGCTGCTCCTTGGAAAGCCTATACAGGGTTGCTATGGGTCGGAATCGACTCGACAGCACTTAACAACAACAATCACCACCAAAGACCAGACACTGTCCTGAGTACCTGATCTGCTTCTTGTTGTAGCTAAGTACTGTTGAGTCGGTTCCGACTCAGCGACCCTGTTAAGGGTTTCTGAGGAGCGGCTGGTGGGGCTGAACTGTAGATTCTGCAGTCCAGTGCATTACCCTGCAGTGCCACGCCAGGATGCCCTTTATAGGCTATACCTCATTTAATCCTCACATCAATGGCCTATGACATCACTGTTATTTTCATCCTCTTTTTACCCATGAGGAAACAGAGGCAGACACTCCCTGCAAAAAAGCAAACCCAGTACTGTGGAGTTGATTCTGACTCACATCCACCCTCTGAACAGAGTGGAACTTCTCCATGGGGTTTCCGAGGCTGTAAATCTTTATGGAAGCAGACGGCCTCAGCCTTCTTCCATGGAGCAGCTGGGAGATTTGAACTTCTAACCTTGTGGTGCTGGTTGTTGTTGGTAGGTGCCATCGAGTTGGTACTGACTCAGAGTCCTTATGCACAATGGAACAAAACACTGCCCAGTCCTGGGCCATCCTTACGATTATTGCTATACTTGAGCCCATTGATGCTGCCACTCTGCCACTCCATCTCTTGTGCTAAGCAGCCCAATATTTAACCCACCATACTACCAAAGCTCCTTAAACCAAGGCACAGAGAGGTTAAGTAGTCTGACCAAGGTCACACAGCTAGAGAGCACAGATTTGAACACAGGTAGCCCTGCTCCATAATTCATGCTCTTAATTAAAATACTATAATGTCTGAACAGGGTGTGGGTTGTGTGTCTGTCTGTTTGCCTGGCTGTATTGGGGGAAGCGTGTTTTAAGAAAAACACTAGGCAAAATAGGCATGCCATATGTGAAGCTCAAGGACATGCAAATCTGATGGTGATGGAAGCCAGAATAGTAGTTACTTCTGGTGGCTACGAAGGGGGTTGTTGTTATTGTTAGGTGCCACTGAGTCGGTTCTGATTCATAGCAACCTTATACACAACAGAATGAAACACGCCTGGTCCTATGCCATCCTCACAATTGCTCTCATGCTTGAATCCATTGCTGCCACTGTGCCAACCCATCTTGTTGGGGGTCTGTCTCTTTTTCCACTTTACCAAGCATGATGTCCTTCTACAAGGACTGGACCCTCCTGATAAGATGTCAAAGTATGAGAGATGAAGTCTTGCCGTCCTGACTTCGAAGGAACACTCTGGCTGTACTTCTTCCACTAACACAGATTTGTTTGTTCTTCCGGAAGTCCATGGTACCTTCAATATTCTCCTCCAACACCCTAACTCAAATGCATCAATTCTTCTACTACAGTCTTCCTTATTCACTGTCCAACTTTCACATGCATATGAGGTGACTGAGAATACCATGGCTTGGGTCAGACACGCTTTAGTTTTCAAACTGATCTCTTTGCTCTGGAACACTTTAAGCAAATCCTGTGCAGTAGATTTGTCTAATGCAATACGTTGTTTAATTTCTTGACTGTTGCTTCCATAAGTGTCGATTGTGGATCCAAACAAAATGAAGTCTTTGACACCTTCAATCATTTCTCCATTTATTATGATGTTATTTATTGGTCCAGTTGGGAGGATTTTTGTTTTCTTTGCATTGCAGTATAATCCATACTGAAGGTTGTAGTAAAGGGGTGTTGTTGTTAAGTGCCGTCAAGTCAGTTCTGACTCACAGCGGCCTTGTATAGGGTTTCCAAGGAACAAATGGTGAGCTTGAACCACTGACCTTGTAATTCAAACTGACTTTATAGTCTAGTACATTAATGCACAGCGCCACATCAGGACTCCAGTAAGCGGTCTGTTATTGTTGTTGTTAAGTGCCGTAGAGTCGGTTCCGACCCATAGCAACCCTGAACAGGGTTTCCGAGGCTGTAAACCTTTACAGGAGCAGAAAGTCTCATCTTTCTCCCACGGAGCAGCTGGTAGTTTCGAACTGCTGACCTTGCGGTTTGCAGCTCAATTCATAACCACTACGCTACCAGAGCTCCTTCCAGTAATGGGGTATTGACTAGGAATTATCAGGAATTGTTCTACATTTTGATTGGGGTGATGATTATACTACTGCCAAAAACAAAATACCCTGCAAAATTGAGCCTGTTGCCATCAAATCAATTTCAACTCACGGTAATCCCACGGTATAGAGTGAAAAGCTCCCTATGCTTTTCAAGGCTGGGACCATTCAGAAACACATCACTAGATCTTTCTTCTGAGATACTGCTCAAAAACTTCCACTGCCAATGAGTCAAGTCCAGCTCCCAGCAACACTACAGGATTGAACAGAACTGCTCCTTATGGTTTCTGAGACTGCAAATCCTTATGGGGGCACCAGCCACCAACCTTCTGATCGGCAGACAAGCGCTTAATCACTTGGGCCACCCAGCAACCTCCTTAGACGGCTACAGACATATGTAAAAACTTTTAAGATGGACACCCTATACTTTTTACATTCTGTTGTATTATGTTCGAACACATGTTGTAGTTGTTAAGTGTTGTCGAGTTGATTATGACTCACAGCAGCCCTGCATAGGGTTTCCAAGGAGTGGCTGGTAGGTTTGAAGTGTCAAGCTTGTGGTTAGCAGTTCAGGGCTTTTCCTACAAGTGCTACACTAGGACTTCTCAAAAATATTACTACCAACATTGCTGCTGTTATTAAGTGCCATTGAATTGATTATGACACATATTGACCCTGTATAGGGTTTCTGAGGAGTGGCTGACAGGTTTGAACCACCGACCTTGCGGTTAACAGCCCAGTACTTATACAGCAGCATCACACCAGGACTCCAACATAGATGATACATAAACATGAAGGTCAAATGCAAAAATGGTCAAGTTTGGGTAAGTGTCAAGATGGGTACGATCACCCTCTTTTTACAGATGTGGAAACTGAGGCTCAAGAGGAAGAGATATTTGTCCTCAGTCCCACAAGTGGTATGCAGACGCAGATCTGGCTGGCTCCAGCTCAGAACCAATCTGAGCAGAGATCCACCTGCTCTCCTCCCGAGGAGAGGAACATGATGCCGTTTTCCAGGTAGATGGAAATCACCCAAGCTGGAGCAGGCCCATGCCCGTATTTGCCCAAGCTCTCTGCTCTCCCTCACCCTCCGAGGCCCAAAGGCGGCAAACACAGACATTGAATTTGCTTTTTGCCTTTTTCAGTCAGTGTTCTTGTCACCATGCGCTGCCTGCCAAACTCCACATTCCTGGGGAGAACTCCAGGAGGCTGGACAGGGTGGGGGAGTCAGGGGGGGACCTGCAGGCGGCTCTCCCAGAGCCTCCCCTCCCTGGGTGGGCCCGTGCTCCCTGTGGGCCCAGCTCACCTTGCAGCATGCTCCGGTAAGCCGTGTCGGCGATGGCGTAGATGTGGGGGGGCATCTCGTGCCTCTTCTTGCCCTTGTACATGTCCACGATCTTTTCCGAGTAGATGGGCAGGTACTTGTAGGGGTTGACCACCACGCAGAAAAGGCCAGAGTACGTCTGCCAAACAGAAAACCCAGCTTTACTTCCAGCCTGTGGCATAGAGGGCTCGGACCCCCGCCCGCGGGATCTACCCACCCTCCAAGGTCTGCATTTACTGAGCACCGCTTGTACCACACTCACAACAAAACAATCAAACAGGTGAGCACATCGTCCCATTGCAAAAAGGGGAAACTGAGGCTCAGAGAGTTCTCTAGGGAATCCTCTCAACTGCCCCAGTATTCTGGGAGCAAATGGCAAGACTGGCTGTCTAGGCCACTGATGTGGTATTTTAGGAGCTCTGGTGGTGCCATAGAATAAGCACTGGACTACTAACTACAAGATTAGCTGTTTAAACCCACCAGCAGCTCTTTGGGAGAAAGATGAGACCTTTTGCTCTTGTAAAGATTTACAGCCTCAGAAATCCTATACAAGGTTGCTTTGAGTGGCAATGAGTTTGGTTTCCTGTTGGGATGTGATATTTTACAATGGTATGATTTTAACTAGTCCCAAGTTCAAATCCAGTTCCACTTGTACTAGTCTGGGCAAGTCAGTCACCGATCTGTGGCATTGTAGGATAAACACTGGACCACAAGGTCAGTTTGAACCACAAAGTCGGTGGCTCACACTCACCAGCTACTCCTTGGAAGCCCAATACAGGGTTGAAATGAGATGGAACAGCTACCATTTTCAGAGGGCTCACTGAGCGCTGAATGCTGGGTTAAGAAACAGGCATTCTCTTACTGAACCGTCATAACAACTGTGACACGGGTACTAGTTTTCCCTCTGCCCATTTGACAGATGCAAGAACTGAGCCTCAGGAAGGCTTCATGAACAGATCACACAGCTGATGGGAAAGGTGGGACTAGAAATCACAACTCATGCTTAACCATCAGCAAAGTACAGCCTCATCTGTCAAATGGGGGTCCACACAGCTGTTCTGCCCTCCGGGGTGGAGGTGGACAGGAACCTATGAAAATTACCAGGGCAGGAGAAGAAGCATGAAGGTACCCTATAAGCCCCACCATACTGTGCAATTGGGAAGCAAATCATTGTGGTATCGTTCCTTAGTACACAGAAGGTTTCCTGATGGGCCGTAGTCAAAGTCCAGCAGACAGGCTGTCCACAGGAGTTGCCTTCCCCAAACGATAACATCAGCACTGCCTGAGGCTTGGATGGCCACTAGTCATGCCTTCCCTCCAAGTTTCCATAAAGTGACCAAGCACAGAGAAACATCCATTTCACTTCTGGGTAACACTTGGGGCAAACCAGACACCAGAGAAGTTAAGCAACTTGGCTAAAGTCACCAAGCAGGACCTGCACAGTCCCGAGACCCCCACAGCCCACTCTCAGGTATAAGCTCTGTCCATGAGGCTGCATACCCGATGCCCATCCTACTGAAACAGGGGATCACTCACTCATTCATTCACTATGCATGGGCTGGACACTAGGGTTGAGGCTGCAGTCGACATAAAAAGACAAAGGACCTGCCCTAAAGGCGCTTTCAGTCAAGGGCTAGAGCTAATGGAGGCTGGGGGTCCTTCCAGGGCTCACTTTGCTAAGGGACAACCATGTGTGGTAGGCAGAGTAGGGGTGAGAATCGTGTTCCTTAAGAGGTACAGAAATAAAAAATCTCCCAGGTTCTCCCCGTTACCTAAAAAGGACAAAAATGAGGTCAACGTAAGCTCAGTCTAAGCATCTATCTAACATTTCCTGAGCATCTACTGTAGCAGATGTCTGTACATCTTGTAGCAGATGCTGGGGATCAATCCATGATAGCCCTGCTCTCCAAGAGCACAAGGTCATCAGAGGACACAAGGACATGAAAGAACACCATCAATTGAAGGGTGGAACCCAGGGGATTATGGGAGCAGAGAAGAGAAGGACCTAACCCATGCCGGGTCATCAGAAAAACTTGGGGAATGGGGGTTGCTCCCTGCACTGAGTCTTAAAGATGAGACAGTGCTGACTCGCTCAGGACGTAGGAAAGGCAAAAGCAGAGAGGTGAGAAAATGGAACGTGGGGTGTGTGGGTAAACCGAAAGCTGCTTGGGCTTGCAGGAGCTGCAAAGAAGAGAAAGGCGATGGCAGAGGTATGCAGGGGCCAGAACCCACACCCAGCCCTAATGGGGCTCATCCTCTCCACTCCACCGAATCACCTACAAAACAAACCACTGACATCAAGTCCATACTGACCGATGGACAGAGCACCACTGCCCACGGGGTTTCTAAGGATGTCAGCTTTACGGAAGCAGACAGCCTCATCTATGACCCACACAGTGGCTGGTAGGTTTGAACTGCAGACCTTTTAGTTAGCAGCAGAGTGCCCTTTTGGGTCACTTGGATGCTCCCTTAGATCCTGCCAACACCCTCTTCAATCCCAGCTCAGCCCTGGGCACACAGTCAGTGCTAATTTACTGTTTCTAAGTGAATCCCTGAGGGGTAAACTAATTAACTAAAGCATTTCCCTTTGTTGCCCCAGTGCCAGTACAAGGCAGGCACACAGCAGATACTCAGCTGACTGGTCAAAAACTTCTCCCAGGGTAGAGGCTGGACCACATTTACCCCCAGTGTCCTGGACGCCAGCACTTGAGCTCCCATAGGTGGGCGAGCAAATAAGGTACCCCAAGCGCTTCCTCATCTTTAAGTATCAACTCACCTCCAACTCTTCCAAGGCTATGCTCACTGCTCACCATCCTGCCTATCTGTGAATGTGGATATCATTTACTGTCCCAGCCCAAGAGCCATCACCCTGAAGACAGTAAAGGGTGTGGTCAAGAATTGGATACCAGGAACTTGGGTTTGAACCCTCACTCTGCTACTTCCTAGCCCTCTGACTTGAGAAAGTCCCTTAACCTCTCTGAGCCTCAGCATTCCTCATCTGTAAAATGGGGAGAGAGGGACACACCAGCAACTCCTTCAAGGTTAGCTGTGAGGGAACACTTGTAAAGCACTTCACAAGGTTCCTGGAGCATTGAAGGTGCTCAATACACAGTAGTAACAATTGATCAGCCTCATCTGTTTCAAGATTGCCACCTTCACAGATGGTGTTCCATCTACCTGGAACCCTCTTTCCCCATCTTCCAAGAGCCATTTCCATCTCCTCCTTCAGGGCTCAGCCTAAATGCCACAACCTTGTCACCCTACCATCACATCCCCAGGACCCAGCACAGTGCCACACACACACAGACACTTCGAACTATCTGTGAAATGAATGAATAAAAGAAAGGAGGAAAAAATGAGTTCTCTTCTGGGAGCTCCATCTTTAGGTTCTCAGAGAGGGACCAGCCTTTTTTACTTCCATCTAAGTGTAGCCCTAAAGGAGCTCCGGTAGCGTAGTGGTTACGAATCGCGCTGCTAACTTCAAGGTCGGCAGTTCAAAACTACCAACAGTTCCACAGGAGAAAGATGAGGTGGTCTGCTCCAGTAAACATTTACAGCCTTGGAAATCCTTTATAGGGTCACTATGAGTCGGAACCAACTCCACGGAAGTTAACAACAACAACAAGGGTAGTCCTGATATGGCGCTGTGGGTTAATGCACCAGACTGCAAAGTCATTTGAACTGCAAGGTTGGTGGTTCAAGCTCACCAGCTTGTTCTGTGGAAACTCTATACAGGGTCGCTATAGGTCAGAACTGATTTGGTGGCACTTAACAACAACAACTTGTTTACGATTTTTGGGGGAGTCCTGGTGTGGAGCCATAGGATAAGCATTCAACCTTAAGGTCAGTTTGAACTGAAAGGTCAGCAGTTCATACTCACCAGCTGCTCCTGGGAAACCCTATACACAGGGTCGCTATGAGTTGGAACCGACTTTGACCGCACTTAACTTGTGTTGGGCACTTCGCCTGGTGTTATGCACACAATTCATGTATTTTGGTTCACTGCAAGCAACTTTTCATGAGCAAGCTGGGGTTCAGAATTCCAAATGAAGAACTGGGCAGGCAGCAGTTTGCCTCTCCTAGGGCGGCTGTACTTTACAGCAGATCTGACAGTTCCATCTCTTGACCCAGGCCAATGGTAATTGGCTGTGTTTCTGCCTCCCGGTCCCCACGAGCCCCTCTCCAGCTGGTTAGGTTCAGAGGTTTCCACATGCCTAGCCTCCCGCATCCCAGCCGGCATCTCAATTGGTCCTGTGCCACCAGCAGGTCCCAGCAAAGGCCCAGGATGTCCCTGTTGTGACCGTATTAGGAAGTGGCTGAAGTTCTCCCCCCGACACTTTATATGGTCAGCAGTGGAGTCCCGAGCAGGAGGCTGGTCCCAAGATCTTGGCAGAAATGAAGAACAGGGAAGAAGGGGAAGATACAAGCCTAGGGGACAGCTACCCTTTGCCCCTCACTAGTCCAGGTGTGGCGCTGTAGGATAATGCAGTAAATCGTAGGGTTGGTTTGAACCACAAGGCTGGAGGTTCAAACCCACCAGCCAATCCTTAGTTGCTGTGAGTCAGAATCGACCTGATGGCGCTTCACAACAACAACCTTGCTCAAGTTGCCAATCCCAGCCTCTGCTTCTTCATTCATAAAATGATGGATAAGCTTGTCTCATTAAGGAGTTGTTCTGCAATATCACAGTTTGTCCATTTTTATCCGAGAGACACATTCCCGACCAGCAGGCAGGTTTGTGGCATCACTGTTTTAAATGGCAAACAAAAAACCCGGCTGGGAATCACCTAAATGCCCATTGGTAAAGAACCAACTCAATTATTACAAGGCCATCCCTGTATGTAGTGAACATTGAGGTTGGGTGTCATAAACAGTTAAGTTCTTGGTTGCTGACCAAAAGGTTGGCAGTTCAAATCCACCCAGAGGTCTAGAGATCTAATTCCAAAAGATCAGCCACTGAAAGTCCTAAGGAATAGAGACACTGAGTTGAAATGACTTTATGGCAAAGATTTTTGGGCTGTTTTTTTATTTTTGGCACTGTAGTTACAAAGTGTGCAGGCCCAACGATGAATTTAAACCTACCAAGGAGTCCTAATGTGGCACTACAGGATATGCACTAGGCTGTGAACTACAAGGTCA